CACACCCACCCGTACCTGACAGTGCCGGCCGGCCGTCGCGGCGGCGTCCGTCAGTGCCACTCGCCCGGCCGGCCGCTGACGGCGCGCCAGCCGCTGACGGAGCGATAACATGTTTGTCGTGTAGCCGGCGGCGCGCTGTTTTGACGTGCGACGGCGGCGACGTCTGTCGGCACCCGGTCACCGGCTGCTGGCCGACGGAGCCGCGGGCGGCGGGACCCCGGCTGAAGGGACCGCTGCCGGCCGGGAGGGGTCGGCTCAGCAGCGACACAGCGAGCCCTGGCGCTGGCAGCACGCTGTCCGGGTGGCACTGCTGCCGGCTGCCGGCGGCCGACACGAGTCCTGGGCTGACACACGCGGCAGCGCCGGCTCAAGCTTGCTAAGGCAGCGGTGTTCACGGCGGTGTCCGGCACTCCTCTCTCCCGCACCGGAGTCGGGCGGCGAGATCGCTGCCGTCCCGCCGTCCGACCACAGTCCTCAGTCAGCCAGGGTACCCCACAACACAGGAGACGAGCAGGACTGACCAAATATCCCAACCGATGCGCTTCTCAGCTGCGCGAGATGATTGGCGACGGTTGACAGTACACACCCTTTTTTGAACGGGGATGCACACTTCGTCTTGTTGTATGCTTTAATTTTGTTGTAATTTTGTATGTAGCACCCGCACAGAAGTTTGTGGTGCATCAATTGCTTGCGTTCAAACGCAAGAGCAGCTATTTTCTAATTGTCAGCCGTCGATATGGGCCATCACGAGCATCTCGCACTTATTCCAAACGGGGTTCTGCCCCGCTTTCCCTTCCTGTCGGTATTCTAGTGGTAGAGGTCGGCGCTTTGAGATTCATATCAGTTCTTGTCCCACGTGCTTGTCATAGTGCGGCGCGGCGTGCTCGGCATGGGCTCTGTGCTGCACCACCGTTGTGCTCCCTGTTAGGCGCCGTTCGCCGACTCAAGCGACTAGTTTTCAGTTGTTTGCCGGTGCGCGAGGTCGTCTGCTTCTCTGTGCTTCCAGCGCTCTGTATGTGTGCAGCTGTGCTTTGGCCGCCGCTCAATCGGTGCGGGGCCATCACCACTCGCTGTTGTGCTCGTAACGCAGCCGCGACGGCTCCGCCGGCGGGCGGCCGCCAGCGCCTGCGCGGCGCGCGACCGGCCGACGGTGCGCGTGCGACGCCTGACACCGCGCCCGCTCTGTGTTATAGGCACCTACGGCCAGGGCGCCGGCTACGGCCGGCCGCGTGTCCAGACAAGTAAGCCGCCCCCGGTCGGCCACTGGGGCGCCCGCAGCTGCCCCGCCGCCGGCGCACGGGGCTGAACGGGCAGACAGGCTCGCCTTCCCTGTCTCCCTCCCTCCCTGCCTTGCATCCTTCTCGGGATCCTTCATTCCCTCCCTCCCTCTCTGTCTGCGTTGCTGCCTCCCTGCCTCCTTCCCCGCATCCCTCCCTCCCTGCCTGCCTGCCTCCCTCCGTGCCTCCTTCCCCGCAGTCCCATGCTCTATCCCTCCCATCATGCCTGCATGGCTTCCTCCCTCCCTCCCTCCCTCCCTCCCTCCCTCCCTCCCTCCCTCCCTCCCTCCCTCCCTCCCTCCCTCCCTCCCTCTATGTCTGCCCGCCTCCCTCCGGGCCTCCCTCCTCATCATTTCACCCTCCCTCTTTTCCCCCTTCTATCCCCCCTGTCTGGCTGCCTCCCACCGTGCCTCCTTCCCCGCATCCCTGCCTCCATCCTTCCGCCCTCTCTGTCCCTCCCCTCCGACCGCCGCCTCTGCAGCCGCCGTCTAGGGCTGAGCTTATATATAATAAGACAATTTGGGGCAAAGCTGGGACACGGATCAGATTAGTAAGATGTTTTTCTTACGTGAGCGTCGTTGACCTTTACAAAATTAACCCGCCATCGTCTCTGATTTGATGTGCGGTGAGTGCGATCTGCGTCCCTCCACGCTGTCTGCGCAAGCGTGTATGGTGCAGCGTAGCCACATGTCAGCCTCGTGTGCCGGCCGGGCGTCGGCGCTCGCGCCGACCCTGCTAACCTGCTGCTCCCCCCTCCCACGCCACTAACACCACCAGCGCGCCAGCTGTGCGTACTAACACCGCCGGTCTGTAGCTGGACGCCGAGCGGCGGCCGGCAGCGCTGGCTGGCGCCGTCGGGCCGGCCGGGCTGGCTCCCGGCCGCTGCTGGGTCGCCGGGGTACTAACATGGCGCGGTCACCGGCAGCAGCCGTGTGTTGTGGGGCGCGGCGGGCGGCAGACAGGCCGGCCAGGCAGGTCGCGCTGACGGTGACCTGGTGCAGGGTCAGGTCGCGCCGTTCGGGTGCTTTCGTGGGCATGTCCGGCCGGGAAACCATGAGCTTGCGGAAGACAGGCGGTCTGGTTACGCTCCTTAAATTTGATGGTGTTCAGATTTATAAGGACTGTCGTGTCTCGCTTTGAGTTAAACCTTGAGTGGTAAAATGCATTGGCCATGGTCGCTTGTGTTCAGCCATCCGGTGACACCCGAGGCGTAATAATGGGCGCCATATAACAAGCGCAGTCGAAGCGCCTTATAACCCAAATAATCGTGGCCATCATCACGGCGTGTTACGTTATTTGTTCTGTAGGGTATTTGTGACGTTCCATGACACAATGTCATGGTCCTGTATACTATCAAAAGGACCTTATTCATTCGTATCTTCAAAGAAGAAATTACTGGAGACTACTTACCTTAGTTTCAACAACGCTTTCCCGGACAAACCTGTTGGCCAGGCGGCATGCATGCGGTGATTTGCGGGACCTGTATTACTTCAGATGGGCTTTCCATTCCGCAACCTTAACGCCTTGCCTTGCCATTCTCCACTCATGTGCTGTGACTCACCACACGTGCTTAGGAACGTGACCGCTTGAATTTGTGCTTCGAAACTCTGCGTCTCAAGCAAAACGACAAACTCAAATTATCCAAATCAACTACCTACTCACATTTACCGTGACCAACCCGTTCCTTTCAGACCTGAACGTCACATAGCGGTGCGACGCCGACAAGCCAGCCGGCCTCCGCACCGGCCGAGGCGTCCTGTCGGACCTGGCCGTCCGTCAGGCGACGTCATCGGCTCCACTGCCGCGATCCGCCGGCGAGCTCGCGGCGGACTGCGGCGCCACCCCCACCGGCGTCCACCTGACCCAGGCCGTCAGCCGGGAGAATCTCAGGCGGTCAACGCGCGGTGCCTGGCGCCGACGCGGGCCGCGCGAACCATGCTCCGTCCTAGGTGCCTGCGCGCTGAACGACCGGCGCTGCTCTGTCGCCGGCGCTCAGCGGTCTGTCCGGCGCTGCTCGGTGTCGTCAGCAGGCGTGCCGTCCGGCGCTGCTCTGTCGCCGGCGCTCAGCGGTCCGTCCGGCGCTGCTCGGTGTCGTCAGCAGGCGTGCCGTCCGGTGCTGCTCTGTCGCCGGCGCTCAGCGGCCGTCCGGCGCTGCTTGGTGTTGTCAGCAGGCGTGCCTCCCGGCGCTGCTCTGCCAGCGGCGCCGCGTCGGCCGACAGCGGGCCGGCAGCAATAACGGAATGCCGGCGGTCCAGCCACGTCTTTCGGGCGGTGTTCGCCGACGGCGGCTCACCTGATGCCGCGGGTCGGCCGGCGACGGGTGTCGTGCGGCTCCGGTGGAGCGGGTCGCCGCGTCCACAACCGTGATAATATCGTTGCTCCTGCGCGCGCCGACGCCTTCGAAGTGGGCCGCGCGCCGTGTGGCCGGGGACAACAGCAGAGATTATGTATCCGTTTGATGAGCTTTTGCATTTTTACCACTAATGTGCCTGCCGAGCGCCGGGTTTTTATTTTACACATGTCCTACGTGGGTGTCAGATAGCAGATAGGTACGTGGGGTGCTGCTTGCCGTTCTGGAGGATATTTATTACACTACCGCATATTCAGTATAGCTCTGTTGTCGTGCAGCGCCTGCAAACGAGCAGCTGGGCGAGCTGTGGGCCGGCATTGGAGGTCATTGGTTCGCTGGCAGTCACCCTCGGCTCACCAGGTAGTGTCATGAGATGAACGTGCCGAGCTCAGTGGCTAATATGGAGTGAATGGGGACGTGGTGCAGTATTGTGCATGGTTCATTTTGTGTTCAAGTCGCGAATTTATGCGCGTTTGGGCGCTTCTATGTCGTTGATTTTGGAAAGACTTTAACCAAAGCAGTGTGTGCTCTGTGATGAATAAAAACGCAAGGAGTGACGTACGGCTTTATCTTGTAATACACAATGGATATTGCTGGAGCTCAGCGGATGGAGTGCCTTTGAACCCGATGCCCTGATATGATGGGAAATGCAGGGTTTGGGCTCGTAGAAAGACAGGGTTGCACATTTCCGTTATGCTCGGCCTGCAGTTTGTGAGGCAAGAATGTAAACTCGTGTAAATTGTATGTATTTAGTTGTTGCATTGAAGTGAGCTTTGGACTAATAAGGCCTGTGTCGTCGCATGACGAAAATCGCATTGGATGCAACCATGATCACGAAATGTCACCAAGCTGCGACCGCTGATGCGACTAGGGCGCAGATCACGCCAGCAACCGGAGCATCGACGAAACGCCGAACACAGAGGGAGCTTCGCAGGGCGCCGGACGTAGCGCGCAACCGTAAGAAGCTGTGGCTGTGTCCAGCGGCGCATCCAGTCGCGCTTCGCTAGGTCTTCTAGGTCTAGGTCTAGGTCTTAACTAGCTTCGTGTCCTGACGTGTGGCCGCGACCTGGCCTTTCGCGAAGAAAACGGCCGTGACCCAGCCCCGCGGGAGTCCTCGACACATCCCATCCACGCGTCCTTTGAGACTGCGCCGTGTCTGCCGCGGAAACCGGGCCCGGGCTATGACCCACGCGAGGCGGTGGCGGCTGCGACCTTAGCTGTTGCGCGTGTCACCGAGTCGTCGGACGCGCGCGCCCGCACGCGGCGGCCCTGGGTGACGAGCTGTTTGCGCCGTCGCCGGGCCTGACAGGCTGTCGTCGGCGAGGTGGCGGCGCTAGCCGGGCCGGCCCGGCGCCCACTGGCGGTCCGGCACCATGGAGGACGCACGGCTCTGGTGGTCGCTGCTCGCGGCGCTGCTGATTGCGGCAGGTGGGCACCCGGCGTCGGGGATCTGCCGCGTGGCTGCTCGCGTCGGGCCGCCGCCTCGCCGCCGGCCCCGACGGCTGCTCCGTCGTTGGCGTTGACCCTCCCGATCACGTGAAATAAGTCTCGTTAGAGGGACTGCGCCTTTAAAAAGTTTCCCATGGTTCCTTCCTTCTAAAAAAGCGACAGTTTATTCTGAAAATATCTTGTCAGATGCCGATGCTGTTAATATAAATGGCTCAGGTACAGTCATTCCCACAACGCGCTGTTGAGGTAATAGCGATTGAACGCCGAAATTTTTTTTAGTGTACCATCAAAAATACTGCTATATTTGCAAAAGTCCCATTCTCTTGATGGACTTGGTGCCAAAATTCCAGAACCTCGCTGGACCATCACAATTTTAAGAAAATATATCAAAGCGAAACGGTGAAGTGTCGCGTCGGAAGGACCTGGCTTAACTTCCCCCACATTTAACGCAGACAGTGTTTTGTGGCACGTCCAACCCCTGGGAGGAAAACTTGTCATGCAATGATGGCGCCTCATTTCCAGCGGCTACGTAACATGAACTACTGGTCCCGCAACATGCGCTATAAAGTGCGTACCAGCCGTCACTGTTCGACTCGTAGATATAAAGGAACATAAAAGGCAGCTATCGTTATCACATCCGGGGCTGTATGCCACATCGGTCGATGTGTCACGGTGCTAAGTGGAGTTATGCTAATATATCGGGCCTCTTTACTCCACAGGTGCTGCTGCTCAGAAGGATCTGTGCAAAGGAAAGGTTGAAGTCTGTTCCCAGGGCGAGGTCAAAGTCGCTGGAACTTGCGGTAAGTACGACAAAACGTGTTACGTGTTCCATCAGTTTTTTATCGCGGGTACCATGTGATGAACGGGTTATTTATTTTCAAAAACATTTTCTTTGCCTTTCAAGGCACTCTGAATGCTGCTCCCACGCCGCATCTCCAGCGGTCTAGTTTAAACAGCTTCCTAAGTAGCACCAGAGGCATTCCCGAATTAATTGTTTTCCTAGTGCTTCGTGGTGCACGTCAGGTTTCGAGATGGCGCTGCTGATGTGCTTACATCGTCTTGCCGCAATGCGGCCAGCCCTTCGTGTGAAAAGGATTTTGGGGTAGCAATGACCGTTCGCTTTTTTAAACTTGACGGTTCACTGGTTCCAAGGGTTGAGGCAAACTTATTGGTACCGTTATCGGCCGTATATATATATATATATATATATATGTATATATATATATATATATGTATATATATATATATATATATATATATATATATATAAATGTGTGTGTATACATATTCCATTTAGGGCGTGATGTTGGGTTACCGTCGTATCGCGAGGCAGCCTTGTCCCTCCTTGCCTAGCAGCCCGCCGGTGGGTCTCTCACTAAGGTAAGTACATTTAATCCCTGCTTGAAAGTCTTCGAAACCCTAATGGGACAGAAGCCTCTGACAAAAGGAGCCCAATGCTTTGCTATTAGTACAGACTAGACCATGGGTAAACCTGTCATTTGCTTTACTCTCTCAGTTCCAAAGCATCAGTCAACAGTCCATCCGCTATGCGATGTATTCACTTATGTGAAGACATTGAAACGTGTCCTACGATCTGCACCGACAGTCTCAAGAGTCATAATTTCCTGCTCCCCTCCCATTGCAGTGAACACCACCGGCGGTTACGCCAGATGCGTGTCATACAACAAAATCCAGAGCGTATGGTTCTACCCTGACAAGAAGGACCTGTGCTCGCTGGCTGAGTGCTACTGCTGGTGTGATCGACATGGCTACTTCTTCACCATCTTCATTCCGACCCAGGAAACCTCGGACCGAGTGCCCAACAACCAGTGAGTCACGTGACGCGAGCAGAAATCGCGCCACCTCGTTCGTTCGTCACTAACCGTGATAAACGGACTCGCGAAGCACATGCTTTGCAATTCATAGAAGTGTATGTAGTGTATGTAGTGCAGTGTATAATAGTTTATATATATATATATATATAGTGTATAATAGCATATATATATATATATATATATATATATATATAGTGAAACAAGCGTATATGAAGCTAGTGTTAAACCAACCATACACCAACACAATAGACAAGGGCGCAGATATGCCAAGAGCGTTTTGCTGGCGCGTCGATCCCGCCACCCAGAAAGTGCGATTTGAGATGAACAGAAAATTCGCCACCGCTTTTTGTCCCTGACCCGATTGCGGAACGATGTTTTTTCATTGCACGCAGTGCTATGACCAAGTTTGCATCCGACTCAGGATGAGGAGTCATCTCGTCTCTGACCCATAGCTAAGTCTATTCTGACTGTGGGTCTGACTGACTTACCAGTTGCCGTGGGGTCCGCATCTGACTGGTCGTCTTAAAGCAAATTAAGTCAACTTGACTCTGATGTCATTCGAATCCGGCACTAAATCAGTACGATTTTGCATAATGTCCGAGCCGACTGAATGTTCTGTTGCCTACTTTTTCCATTACCTGCATCGATCACTTTTCATGTGTTCAATTTATAAGTCGAGCGCGTTTAGACCAGTAACCAACAAGCAGAAATAGATGATCGCCTTCAGCATGTATACCTATATGCTTCCAAAAAGTCATGGGAGGGGCGTCACTTTATATACTTTCGGAGGGCTACCCGCAACGCTAACCCGGGCCTCCTAACTGCTTTTCTGACACTCCCAAGGCATGTGAGCAAAAAAGGGAATACTGAGCAGCAAAATTACCTTAACTGCTACTACACCAAGTTTGACGCGAATTGATTTTCGTATTTCGCCTGTTTTTCCTTGTACTTTCTTCAACCCTTGGTTTTGGGCGGCACCCCAGTACTAGCCGTCATTATGCTACGCGTGGTATTTTCCGGGTTCTGGTTTCATTCAGCTTTCTTTAACCGTCCACGTAACCAGGAGCCAAAGCTCCCCATTTCTTTGCAATTTAGTCATGATCACCTGGGAGGAACAAAACGCCGGTAAAGCCCGTTGACAGCACCCTTCTGCAGGCCTATTAGACCGATCGACAGCAATACCTCACCATTCGACGCTGCTTGGTCGTTGACAATCTTCCACAAAGCTGGTGACCTTGGGTCAATCAAAATGTCACCAAAAATGCAAAAAATGAAAACTTTTTTAATCCAAGCCGACAGGACAAATGACCACAAAGCTCCCGCCAGTCGATGTGCCATAGTCGATGTCCTATCTTGTTCAGAACATGGCGACCTCGGGTCAGGTCGAATGCCTCCAAAAAAAAAATCGTACAAAAGCCATCGGAAGTTAGTTCACACTTACTTTGCAAACTAATTTCAGGTGGTTTGGGACGTTTTTTGATTATCTTTAACCTGACCCAAGGTCACCATTTCGCTGGAAAGGACAGGTTACAGAACATGGCGTGTCGATTGCCAGAGGTTTTGTGCCGATCTGTCTCATAGGCTGGGGCCATGGGGTTGCATGCAGACAGTTTTGGTGTTTTTCTGCGTTTTCGGTGTTTTTCACCCCGGCTCAAGGTCAATATTTTCTGGGAATATTAGGCTGTCGACCATTGTCCATAGATAAGCAAAAATTGTGTGCCCATTGGTCCGATCGCCTCGGGGCATATGGTTGTCTGCAAAGTGGTTGATGCCCGAAGCATGATCTTTTTTGGTGATCTTCGTTCTAACCAACAGTTACCATGCTCTTGACAGGATGGGCTATCGACCATGGCGCATCAGTTGGTGAAAGTTTCGTGCCAATCGATCCCATGGGCTTGGAGCGTGGGGTTAGGTGCAGCCAATTGTGGTGGCTTTGGATGTTTTTGGTAACCTTTGACCGGGCGAAAGTTCACCATGTCTGGGAAAGGTCAGATTATCGATCATGATGCATCAATTTGCAGAGGTTTTGCAAACCCCGAGCCTATCGGCTTTATAGGCTCGAAGTTTGCGCAGTCTGCAAACAATGTTGGTGGTTTCGGACGTTTTTAGTGACTTCCGACCTGAACTAAGGTCACTATGCTCTGGAAAAGATAGCAGATTGAATACGACGCATCGACTGATGAAAGCTTTGTGATGATCTCTGCCACAGGTCCGGAGTATGGGGTTGTCTGCAAACAATTTTGTTCGGCTTTGAGCATTTGTAGTGACTTTTGAACCTGGTCCAAAGGTCACCATCTTCTGCAAAAGATCGGCTATCGACCAAGCGGCACCGAATAGGGGAGAGTTTGGTATCGATCGGTCTTGTAAGCTCGGAGCATGGGAATGTCAATAGGTCTCGTCGGCCGTTTAGCCCCTCTCTGATAGCCCGGATGATATTTATTAGCAATTGGTAAAGTGCCTGTGTGATAACATAAATGTAACAACCCGTGTAATATGCCAAAGTATTTAGTCAAATGTCTAAACTAAGCTTAACGGACATGAAAAGGCAAAACATGCATCATTTCTTTGCTTCACACTGGTCATCACCACTATCACCACCACCGGAATTTCCCCATCTTTCCCGAGCCTGAGTTCATAGTTAGGCAGTTCCAAGTGCTCCCCGAGCTGCTTATGGTGATTAAGCACTGCAGATGCCCCTTCCCCCCGAAATCCCGAATTTGACGGTCGGGAGACTCGGGCAGGCCTCGTGTTTCCCCAATGGATGGTCAACGAAGAAAACTTGGAAAACCCCAGGCATTTCCCAAGGTGGCTGGGGAACTTGGAGATCCTCAAGTATTTTCCAACCTTTCGTGACTTTAACCAAAGTAAATTGATGATTGGTTGACTATTCCCTTGACTTAAAGCGATGGCCGGGGACTTTGTAAATCACTAATTCTACACTAGTGTTCGGTACAATGGTCGTAGTGCTATTTACAGTGTCCCCAAATGCTTACTAATTGCTAAATGGTTACCTTTTCTGCGCCAGTGTGCAGAAAACTAGTCCTAATGCTACTAGTCCTAATGCTTTAGTGTCCCTGACTAACTTTGCACATCAATAATGATGATAGTTAAGCTCATTGAAATGGTTCTTTCCCTCCAATGTTTTTACGACACACACACACACACACACACACACACACACACACACACACACACACACACACACACACACACACGTGTGTGTGTGTGTGTGTGTGTGTGTGTGTGTGTGTGTGTGTGTGTGTGTACGTGTGTGTGTGTGTGTGTGTGTGTGTGTGTGTGTGTGTGTGTGTGTGTGTGTGTGTGTGTGTGTGTGTGTGTGTGTGTGTGTGTGTGTGTGTGTGTGTGTGTGTGTGTGTGTGTGTGTATGTGTATGTGTCTATTCACTATAATATAACCATACCCCGAGTAGCACTGCTCCTCGAATGAGGTGCCCCATTGCCGTGACCACAGCACCATGGGTGTCCCTCTCCAGAGGCCAGCTTGTGCAGAAGACAGGCAAGTGCTGGTGTCACAACAACGGTGGGTACGCATGGCGCTCCAAGCGAACAGCGATGGCAGATTGCAATCAGAAGAAACACGCCATCATGGTGAAAAACGGCTTCAGCAAGAACGTCCGAAAAAAGAATGAGTTTTACAATTGCGCCGTGGAGCTTCCAGCTGCAGGTAAGTCACTGCAAGCTCGACGACGATGGCCGGTACCGCTGGCCGGCATTGCTGGCCGGCACCCCTGGCCGTACCAAAGCGCCGTTCAAAACCGACAAAAAGGCCGTACGCAACCATCCGAACATGCGGTGTTTCCTTCGGTGCGCGGCTTCCGATGGTCAAATGGCAAGCTGACCTGCTGACGTGGCACTTCGCACGCATGTTTTGTATCGCGTGCTTTGCATACCGCCAAGCGGACGTTGCACATGAGAGCCGCTGGCGGGCGCTGGTGACGGTCGAGCGCCCGGGCCGCTGGCCGCGTCTGACCGCCGCTCTCTGTCTGCGGCAGGAGCGCGGTCCACCGCCGTGAAGTCCTCATTTCCACCCGCCGGCGGTTCAGGTGAGTCGTCACACGTCCGGTTGTGACACCGCTTCACGCCCTGCTCACGCGAGGCACGAGTGGCAGTCAACCGGCCGTAACTGTGGACGTGCTCACGCGATGCACGAGTGGCAGTCAACCGGCCGTAACTGTGGACGCGCTCACGCGAGGCACGAGTGGCAGTCAACCGGCCGCAACTGTGGACGCGCTCACGCGAGGCACGAGTGGCAGTCAACCGGCTGTAACTGTGGACGCGCTCACGCGATGCACGAGTGGCAGTCAACCGGCCGCAACTGTGGACGCGCTCACGCGAGGCACGAGTGGCAGTCAACCGGCCGTAACTGTGGACGCGCTCACGCGAGGCACGAGTGGCAGTCAACCGGCTGTAACTGTGGACATGCCACGGGGCTCCACCTGGCCGCAGGGCGTGTCAAGGGATTCCACCTCGCCTTTATTATGGGCATGTCAAAGGCTTCCACCCGTTGTAACTTTGGGCGTGTCCGGGGTTCCACTTAGCCGTAACTGTGAGCGTTTCAGGGGTTTCACCTGTTGTAACTGTGGGCGTGTCAGGGGGACTCCGCCTGACCGTAACTGTGGGCGCCTCGGGAGGAGGGGGGGGGGGGGGGAGGCTCCGCTATCGAAACCTTTACCTCGCCTCCAGGGTGTAGTTGTTCCCACCCACGTGTGGCTGCTCGCCGACTGAACACTAGAATAGCTCATTCAAACCACTCTAATAATGGTCCTTTCGTTGCCAGCGGCGCCGCTGGCTGAGCGAGTCTTAGCCGCCGCGCTAATAAATGGGAGAGAGGTTGATCCCTTAAGGTTTTTGACACCTCTCCGGCATGTTATACAATCACGCCTCAATTTTCAGCAGCCTATGGGGCATCCATTGCACGTGTTTTGACGTAAAAACGTGTCCCTAGCGTTTCTGGTTTCGGAGCAACGACCTTTTTTTTAGGAGCATTGCACAGCGATCTACAGCCTGCGAGGGCGGCAGGTGGCAACCGACGGTATCGCGGAACGCGAGCGGCGGGCCGACATTATAACATTAACGGACCGATACGCCGTCTAGATATGGCTAAAACACTTGAAACTATACACCATTGTATCTAAAATTGATCAAGTGATACGACTTTTTAGGGTTCGTGCTGCCACAAAGCATAACCTCAGTATGAGGTTGGAAGTTTGAAAATAGTGCTATTTTCGGGAAAATGTTACCTTTGACCTGGCATAATGGGATCAATCTTTCAACTAGTCAGATACGATTTATTAGCAGTCGCAAAATCTCATTGAGACCAATCCCCTGGTGTTTTCTGCTAAGCTCTATCTGTCTTGTTTAAAATCTGAAAGAGGTTGCAACCGCATCCACCCTATATCGGTCCACGCTATGAAAATTACAAGTCGGGGCGAGGGCTAATCAAGTTATGCCAGAACATCGAAGCTTTAATGGCCGGGTGGGTCATGGTTTGAAGAGTATTATATTTTTGCAACAACTGACCATACCGTAACGCAGCTTGCAACAACAAGTAGCAGGTTGGTGTAAACACTGTGGTGTCATTGTCATATTTAAGCATGCATGCTGTTCAATCAAGAGAACGCGTGATATCGCCAAAATTTCACCTCCCGTTCCAATGTCCCCAGAGGAAAATGAAAAAAAAACAACACCCGTCGTGATTCCTGACATCCTAGTGTCGCAACCATGACGAACCAACACCGTCTGGCGGACAGGAGAACGTGTAATCGCATTGGCATTAGTGTCGGTTAATCGGCGCAGCCGGCCACGTGCGCTCGTGCACAGCCCTGAGTCCACCTGGCGTGGGTTGCAGCTCGCGTGGCGCGCTTGGGTACATGGTGCGATGCAACCGCGCCGAAATTTGTACAGCCGTAGACAACCGAATGGCTCATCTTTTGCTATAGAAAAATGATCACCATTGAAAGGTCACTAGCCTGTGATAAGTCGGCGTGCCGACAATGCTTCAAACACAAATGATGATAATGACAAAACTTTCACGGTGCGATGTCCACACGACATTGCTCCTAACGCAAGAGATTGTAATACAGAAACTTCTACGCGACATAACTTCTAAAGCAAAACACGTCTACCGGACATGACTACTATGTGACAAAACTTCTAGCGCAATAACTTATACGCGACACTACTTCTAATGCAAGAACTTCTGAGACGTTAACTTATAAACGACAAAACTGCTACTGCAAATGCGTCTACGCGACGAAACTTCCACGTAATGAATTTCCTAACGCAAAAATGTTTCCGCGACATACTTCCAATGCAAGAACTTGCATCGCATTAACTTCTACGCGATGAAACTAACATATGAATTTTTACACGACGTTATTTCAACGCGACAAGCTTCTAACGCAAAAAGTTCCACGCAACATCACTTCTAATGCAAGAAATTCTAACACATAAACTTCTACATAACAAACCCTCTAAAACAAAACTTCTGCCCGAAATTTATCATGAGCGACACAATGCGTAACACAAACCTTAATTTGCAGTATTGGCTTTTATGCCAAATTTCTAAATCATGCCACATCATGCGATCAAATTCCAACGTAAAACTACTGTGCGACATTGCTTCTACACGACATAACTTCCGACACGAAACTCATATACGATATGACTACTAAGGCAAGAATGCTCTAACGCAGGAAATCCAACACCACACTTCTTTTCACAAGGAATGCCAGTTCACGTTTTTCCGTAGTTCTGATATCCCGGGGTCATATTTTGTCATGGACAAATATTTCACATTGGTATGAATCTGTAGAGACAAACGTACCGATAAATTATACATGTCGACGTATGTTCCAATGCGCAACATATGTGCACGTGCAGCGCGTGCAATTTATTGTTATGTAAGTTATTTCAAATTTTTGAAAATGGTCACTGCCGAGTTTACTGCACGCAGTTTGAAACGCATAGCATACTTAAATATTGACGCAAACATGAGGAAACCTATCTAGAGGTCAGTTTCTGGTTATGAACTACTGGTAGAACTATTAGCCATTGGTATTGGTAGTGAACATAGAACACCGGCACGAAAAATGGGGCCCATACTTTGCAGAGGCGATGAGATACCTTGTATGCACTACCGCTGAGAAAGCCTTAGGTTCAGATTTGGGAATACATTCCCCGTACCGGTGGTAGCAGCCCATGGAAGTTATTCGTTTTAGAAGCTCTTGCGACAGACGTTTTGTGGTGTGGCAGTTTATGCGTTTGAAGTTCTTGCATAAGAACGGATGCCGTGTGAAAGCATTTGCATTAGAAGCTTTGTTGCTGATGAGTTTTTGTGTTAGAAGTAATGTCGTATAGCAGTTTTTGCGTTGTAAGCTTTGTAAGTCATGTGGAAGCAATGTTGCGTAGAAGTTTTTGCATTATAAGTTTTATTTCGTAAGTGTTTATGCGCTGGATGTTCTTGCATTATCAGCATCAGTATATTGGAAGCCGTCCACAAAGTGACTATTACGGTTTCAAGTCATGATCATGTTTCAAATTACGTACTAAAAGGTGCGGTACAGAAAGGCACACACCAAACGTGTACAATAAAATGATACGAGCAATGACAAAAAGTTAAAACAGGCCTATCTATGCATTTTGGGCCCGATCAGGTCAGTGGTCAATGGTCAGAAGTGACTCCTCATTGGTCAAAATCGCATTACGTATGAAGGTGTTAAACGCGTTCAGTATTTTGGCATCACAGGCGTACGACGGCAGGCGGTTCCAGGCAGCTGCGGCCCGATGCGAAAGCGCCCTCTGTGTGGTGGTCACTCGGTGTCTGCCCCAGTGCAGGCTACCTCTGACTGAGGCGTACGTTTCACGGGTTAAAACGGCGACGCGCGTACAAAAAAAAAAACAAAAACGCACGGGCCTCGTGCGGCGCACCTTCCAACTTCACCACCCTTGGATGGCCCCGATCCTCGCCCATCTAAGGGAATTTAGAGCCTCATTTGTGTGGCGGTGCTTTTTGGAGCCTCTTGCAGCAAGGCTGATTGTTTTTTTTAAAATTTTGTGTGGTTAACTCTTGGTCGCTCAAACCCGCACATATGCGCAGGACGTGATATGAGGGACCACGTACACCTGGGTGATAATTTTGAGAAGATCTGAAGTAAAATGATGGCAGAATTTGTACAAAGAAACGAGGATACCGTTGCATTTGTCATTCCACTCAGGACATGGGCAACCCATGACAGACGGGAGTCAACTGTGACACCCATAATGTTGATGCTACTTCGGACATGCCCAGTTTAACCGTTTGCTTCAAAGTGGAAGTTAGCTGACTTTTTATTAAAAATTTTATTTGACCCAACCAGCATAACAGTATTTTTCATCTCGTTCATTCGGAAAGAATTGACACTGAATCAGTTCTGAAGCTCACGCATGGTAAGTCCCACTCTGGTTTTGAGGTCGGCGAGGCTCGATTCGTCAGGAGACGCCCGGTTCACATGCGTGGTGTCGCGGCCTAGGAGATGAGGCGACCATGAGTCAACTATCCATATACAGATCGCTAGTAAACAAAATGAACAAAAGAGGACGGATGATCGAGCCCTGGGGCACACCACGTGACATGGGGAGAGTGAGTCGTCCTCCATGTGCCACCTGCCCGCTCCTCCACGCAGACGCATGGCCACTCAATAACTCCTGAACCGTCCCAATCGCTTACGCCATACCATACAGCTTGGTGAGGAGGTCGTCGTAGTCGACGCTATCGAGCGCATTTGACGGGTCAGTAATCGGTAGCGACAATACAAGACTGTCGTCGGTGTTGGTGACCAGACGTTTGACTTCGGCGAGCACGGCATACTCGGTCGAGTGGCGGGGCCTATAGACATACCGGGATGGATGCAAGAGCCCCGCCGCGTTCAAATATTCCGTTAGCTGTGTGCAAGCTACATTTTTAATGTCTTAGAGAGCGCGCTGAGCAGAGACATGGGCCTATTGTCGGATGGTACAGCCGAATCACCTGACTTCGGAATTAGTACAACACATGCCGCCTTCC